CATATAGGAATAATGTCTGGTACCCAGAATGCTTTCAGTAAATACTGGCTGAATGCATTAAGTTGGACTGCCTCAGAAGGGTCTTTAGGCTAAGAATTGGCAAACTCCATTTTCTCCAAGCAAAGTGTTTGTACATTTAGGCAAGAACCTGAGTATCTGAACAGGCCTTAGCAGCAAATAAAGTGATGGAAATATATGAGGTTGTTGATTTGCTTGAGATGGCTGTTCATTCTCCAGCTGTATTTACACTCTGTTTCAATGAATAAATACTACCTAAGTTGTGCCAACCTAAATGCTTATTTCTTTGAAAACACCATTTCCAAAAACGTAAGCACCTGTTTTATGGTCTGTTTGAGAAAAGCCAATTCTCATGATTCAGTGAATGCTCAGCCGTTCTGCTCACAACTTGAAACTTTGGAATTGAACCAATTTATTGGCCTTTGAGCTGTTACCTCCCATTTAGAAGTTACTTTCCAGTTATGTTTTGTCTCAGTTTGGGAAGTGAAGAGAGCAGAGAAGTTAAAGGGTTTGATAAATGTTTGTATTATAGGCTTATGCTCTTTAAAAGGGTTCTTCAAAAAATTGCCTTTATCTTTTTGATTTTCAGCAATGAACAACTGGCTCCTTTTCCATCACAAAATGATGCCGTGGTATAGAGTCACCAGCAATCTTGACTTGCCAGGCCATTTAAGTCATTTTGAAGCCACTTGTAAGCAATTCTATTATTCTATTCTTGGGGTAGTTGAAGAAAATTTAATTCAGCTGGGTAGCTTGGAAAAAAAGAGAATACTACAACTACTGTACTGGAGTATGTAAGCATTTTGATTTCCAAATGCATAACTTTTAAGAGAAAACATTGAATTATTTAGTAAGGAGTATCCATAAAAACATTTGTTATAACTGCTCTCACTCCTACATGACCCAGATATGCATGGTCTACCTCAGTTTTCTTCTAAGAGGTGTTGGGGAGACACAGTTGGCTGTGCACTGACCTGCAGTGTAGCTCGTTGGGTCAGTTGCTGCAGAGGTAACGTAAGTAACACTTTGTCCAGACAGTGGGGTTAATATGGGGTATGGCCAAGGGTTCTTCCCAGTTATAATATTTAGTTCTTCCAGGATGAAAAAGAAGTCATTGTTAAAAAATGAAGAACAAACCACTTAAGATAAGCTACCGGAATGATTTCTGGAGTTTTGAGAAAATTTAAGAAAGAAGGTAATGGTCTTTGGTGATACCTTAATGGATATAAGTAAAGGCATTTAAAGCTCTTACAATGGAAAACAGAGAAGAGAAGGCAAAGAAAAAATTATGCAGTTTGGAGGACATTTTCCTTTGTTGTAAGTGAATTTTGTGGCCCTAACAGGCACAATGAGAAGTAATATTCTTGATGAATCTTATAGATTTTAAATCTCAGACACAGTGTATATAGCAAGCCCTACAATTTCTAAAGTGTTCACATTTTAAAATTCAACAACAAAAACAGAAAAGCTTAAAATAGGATTTCCAAGAGTCAAAGGCACCCTCTCAGGGGGTGGTTAAGTTCCATTTCGGGTTAATGGTGGCAAGCTGCTCATATAGATTAGTCAGAGTCAGGTTGAAATCCTTTATTCAGAACATGCATTCCCAGCATATTTTAAAAATTATTTTAGCCTACTCATCACAATTCCCCATTAAGAGCAACCAATATACATCACAGTTAATGATGTAAGGCCTACATTTACGGATCACCACTCCTAGAAGATGAGAGTATCTTACCTGCAACAAAGGCATCAGCTGCAAACCTAGTGCTTGCTCATAGAGCAAGTTCAGTTCTGCACAACTGGAGAAGGAGAGTTTCGAGGTGTAGAGGTAATAGTGCACGTGCCTAAATGTGGACCCATCTCTGTCAATGAATAGCCTCTGGCTTTCCAAAGAGGTCAAAGTTGAAGCCTCTCTCCATAATAGGGAGTCTGGGAACTGAGCAAGTTTGCTTCTGGGAACTGAGAAATGCCAGCCCCCAACGTTGAAATGAAACAAATCTTCTGCTGACTCATGGGGCATGCCAGGCTCCTCCTAAAGGGGAATAAAAAGAGAGATATACAAGACATAGACACAAAAAGCATCCACATTGGAAAGCGAGAAGTAAAACTATTTCGATTTGCAGATGATGTGACTTTTCATACAGAAAAGTCTAAGGAATCCACTAAAAATTGTTAGAATAAGTTCAACAAGGTTGATTAATATAGAAAAATCAATTGTATGTTCATATTACTGGCAATGAACTACCCAAAAGTGAAATTATGAAAACAATTCCACTCACAATAGTATCAAAAATAACAAAATATTTAGGAATAACTTTAACAAAAGAAGCGTAGTACTTGTACTCTGAAAACTTCAAAATATTGTTTAAAGAAATTTAACAAGACCTGCCCTGGCTGGTGTCGCTCAGTGGATTGAGCACCAGCCTGAGAACCAAAGGGTTGCCAGTTAGATTCCTGGTAGGGCACATACTTGGGTTGTGTGCCAGGTCCCCATAGGGGGCTTGCAAGAGGTAACCTCACATTGATGTTTCTCCTTTCTCCCTTCCTCCCCCTCTATCTAAAAAAAATAAAATAAAATATTTTAAAAAATAAAAAGAAAAAAAACCAAATGTTTAAAAAAATCCCATGTTTATGGACTGGAAGACTTAATATTGTTAAGATGGCAATACTTCCAAATTGATCTACAGATTGAATGCAACCCCTAAGAAAATTCCAAATGTTTTTATTTGAAAAAATGGACAAGCTATATTAAAATGTATAGGGAAATACAAGGGACCCAGAATAGTCAAGCAATCTTGAAAAGGAGAACAAAATTTGAGGATTCACACTTTCTGCTTTCAAAACTTACAACAAAGCTACAGTAAGTAATCAAGATGGTGTGTTACTAGTATAAGAAGAGACATATGAATAAGTGGAATAGAATTAAGAGCCCAGAAATAAACCTTTACATTTATGGTTAACTGAATTTTAACAAGGGAGCCAAGACAACTAAATTCAAAGAATAGCCTTTTCAAAAAATGGTGCTGGTACTGGACATTCACATGCAAAAAAAAAAAAAAGGGGGGGGGATTTTGGACCCTTACCTCACACCATACACAAAAATTAACACCGAATGGCTTATATTAGAGCCAAAAAGATAGAAACCTTAGAAGATAAAAATCTCCATGACCTTGGATTATGCAATGTCTTTTAGATAAGGTATCAAAAGCAGAATTAAAACAAATTAAATAAAACTTCATCAAAAGTAAAAACTTTTTGCCCTGGCTGGTGTGACTCAGTTGGTTGGAGCATCATCCTGTAACAGAAGGGTTGCAGGCTTGATTCCCAGTCAGGACACATGCCTAGGTTGCAGGTTCGATCCTTGGTCCAGGTGCATATAATACCCCATCTGGGTGCATAGGGGAGGCAACCAATTGCTGTTCCTCTCGCATCGATGTTTCTCCCTCCCCTCCTCTCTCTCTAAAAGCAATAAAAAAATGTCCTCAGGTGAGGATAAATGAAGTAAAATAAATAAAAAAACTTTGATGTTCCAAAGGACACCATCTAGAAAGTAAAAACACAACCCACAGAATAAAACAAAATATTTGTAAATCTGATGAAGAACTTGTGTTTAGGCTGTATAAAGAACTCTTACAACTCAGTAATTAAAAAGACAAATAACCAAATTTAAAAGTGAATAAAGATTCTTAATAGGCACTTCTCCAAAGAAGATACATAAATGGCCAATATTACACACAGAGACACCCCTCATTAGCCATCAGGGAAATGCACAGAACTCACAATGAGAAAACACTTCACACCCACTAGGATGGCTTGAATCAGAGTGATGGATAATAACAAGTGTTGGCAAAGACTGGAGACATTGAAACTCTTATACACTCCTGGTGGGAGTATAAAATGGTGCAATGCTCTGGAACACAGTTCAGTGGTTTCTCAAAATGTTAAACATGGAGTTACTATATGGCCTAACAATTCCACTTTTAGTATAAACTCAAAAAATGAAAATGTGTGTCTACACAAAAACTTGCTGACAGATGTTCACAGAAATATTATTCATAACAGTAAAAAGTAGAAACATCCATGGCTGGGTGGCTCACTTGGTTGGAGTGTCATCCCATTCACCAAAAGGTCTCAGTTCAATTCCTGGTAGGGCACATACCTAGGTTGTGGGTTTGATACCCAGTCAGGGCACATGTGGAATGAATGTTTCTCTCTTACATCAGTGTTACTCTAGCTTTCTTTCCCTTCCTCTATCTCTAAAATCAGTAAACATATCCTTGGGTGAGGGTTAAAAAAAAGAAAGTAGAAACAACCAAAATGTCTATCAACTGATGAATGAGTAAACAAAATGCAGTCAATAAAAAAGAGTAAAGTACTGATACATGCTACAACATGGATGAAACCTTGACTCATTATGTTAAGAAGCCAGGCACAAGACCACATATTAAATGATTCCATCATTAAGTAATGTGCATGATAGGCAAATTTATAAAGATAGATTGTAGGTTAGTGGTTGACTAGGGCTAGTGGTTGACTAGGGCTAGAGAGGTGGGGGAAGAATAAGGGGTGACCAGTAATAGGTATGGAACTTCTTTTTGAGATCATGCAAATGTTCTAAAATTGATTGTGGTGATAGTTGCACAACTCTGAAAACCTACTAAAAACCATTGAATTGTATACTTTAAAATGGTAAATTGTATGGTATGTGAATTATTTCTTAATAAAGCTGTTTTAAAAGGTGAGGATTATGATGAGGCACTTTGCACCCCACTGAGCATGTGCAGGGCTCTCTTGGGATTATCCTTGCAGAGACAGTACCTTATCAGGGCCATGGCAAGACAGCTGAATTCTATGGGTCAAAGGAAGAAAAGATCCCTAAACTTCTAGCTCATTGTTTAAAGTTCAAGGTTATCTGTTCATAAATGAATTGTCTACTTTGCTTCAAGATGACTTTATCAACACTATAGAAAAGTAGAAAACCATGCTGACTTCGGCAGCACATATACTAACATTGGAACTATACAGAAAAAATTAGCAATGCCCATGTGCAAAGATGACATGCAAATTCATGCAGTGTTCCATATTTTAATAGAATAATCAATCAAATATATAAAAAAGTATAAAGCCATCAAATATACTACCATCTGTATCAGATTTTAAAATAAGAACTTCTCTTACAAAAAACTAAAGAGCGATAAATATAAAATTTTACCTAAGAAAGAACCGTAAAACAATATTGAATTCTAGCTAAAATTATGCATGCTGAAGTGATTGGTATACAATGTACTGATATTGTAACTTATTCTGAAATGAATCAAAAGGAAGATGGATTGATAGAGGGATAGATAGATGAATATATGATAAACATGACAGCAACATGTTGATTGTAGAATCTAGGTGGTGGGTGTATAATGCTCACTGTACAACTCATTCAACTTCTCTGAATATTTAAAAATGCATTAAAGTGTTGGTGGGGGGGAAAAGTGTTAAAGTAAGAGGTGGTTGATAAAGAGAGGAAAAGCCTAATTTTCCAATAAAATCCCAAATCTCCTATTTTGAGGAAGGAAAATAAATGCATGCAACAAAGAAGGGGACGGGGTTCTTTTATAATAAACCTGGTCTCAAAATTCAGATACACAGAAGAACAATTGCCACATTTGCAGCTAGAAGAGTTAAAGGGGGCATGAAGAGAAATATTATAAATTAACAAATGGTGTCATGACTCACAGAAGCAGAGCTGGAAAAGCCAATCTAATGGGCTAACCCAGGCTTGGGAGTCCTAGCCCTTCTAAATATGGGTAAGACTGAACAGGACAAGTTGCAAGTAACTAAGGGCCCTGCCTAGATGGGAAACCATAAATATGTGAGGACTCTGGATTTTTGCTTTCTCTTCTCCTTAAAGGTGGCTAGCTGACTGAGAGCTCAGTGAAACGTGCTTGTGATTTTGGATGCTGAAGAAAACCTGCTCCTTGGAGGTGAGCCACAGTTCTGGTTGTAGTTCTTCTTTTCTCTTTAAGGATAAAGTAAGACAAGAAGTTCTTGGCTTAAGAGTTTGCCTCCTTTTTACAGATTCATGTCCCATCCACAGGAGGGGTCTCAAGAGGTACCTACTGTAGTGAGGGTAGGGGTTAAGGATGTGGCTGTTCTTTCCAGCGTTTTCTTCCCCAAGACTGCTCAGGGGCTGGTTGGTGCAGAACTATCCCAGTCTGGGGAGAGCCCTTAATCACTGGCAAACTTGGGGACTTGTAGTACTTGGTGGGCTGACTGGAGGAAATGCACTGGCTCTAGTATAGACATCCCCATCCCAACCCGAAGAGCACCATCTCCCCCAAATCAACTTTTTATTGATTTTGGATCCACAGATCCTTCTCCCCAAAATCAATTTCTAACGCTAGAGCCACGTTATGCTCTTAAAAATAGGACAACTTCTCAGAGCCAAGTTCCCCAACGTTTCCCATCATGCTTCAGAGGGCTGCCTCCCAATCCTTCAGGCCTGGATCCCCTTCTCCCCGATTTGCCCCACTCATGCACCCCCTTGCCTCAGAGTCAACAGCCACAAGAACTGAGATAAAAAGACCTTCACCCTGTCAAGAGGCACACGCCTACTCATCAGACCTGGAATCCCCCAAATCTTCAAAGACAGAACGCTTCATCCCTCAAAGCAGGAGCGTTCCTCCAATTCCTTGGACCCAGCATCGGGGCCCTTCCAAGCTGGGACCATATTCCCCCATGTCCCAGAGCCAGTAACCTAACCCTAGACATAATCCCAGTAACATAATCCTCGACCACAACGTCCCCACCCCACTCCAATTTGCCGTTTTAGTGGTTTTGGCGCCCCCACCAGGGCAGGCTCCATACCATGGTTCGGACCCCGGCGGGCGGGCAGGCGCGTGACCGTGGCAATAACGGCTGGCCCACCGGCGCGCGGGGGTGTGGGGTGGGGGGCAGGCGGGGGCGGGGCCTGACAGGGCTGGGCGGGGCCTGGCGCGCGCTGGGCGGTCGGGGCCGCTACAGGTGAGCACAGTGGAGTGGAGCGGCGCTGCGGGGCTGCCGGGCGGCCGGGCAGGGATGGCGGAGCAATGGGAACTGGACGAGGAGGGCATTCGCCGCCTGGGGGCGCTGACTCTGGAGCAGCCCGGTAGGGCCAGGCCGGGAGCCGGGGGTCTGAGGCTGAGGGGAGAAAACTGAGGCGGAGGCCGGGGAACCTGAGGTAGACTTGGGGGGAACGGGGTGGAGGAGAGGTCCCTGAGGCGGAAGAGAGGTTATGGAAGCAGAATGGTTACACTCAGGTGCAGGCGAAGGAACCGGAGTAACCGCGGAATCTGGGGCGGGGGGTGGGGTGGTGGTGGTGAGAAATTGAGCAGAAAAACGAGATTAATGGGGCACTGCGGCCGGACCACAGATCTAGACAGTGTCTGAACTAGTGGAAGGAAACTGAGCCCCAGGAGGGTTGTTGGTGGGAGAAGGAAGATGCTGAGAAGGATGTTTGAGGTCGAGGTGCTATTGAGGAGGCAGTTCATTTTGGCAGTTTCTGAAACTTCCGACTCAGTGGGACTAGTTTGAGTGAAATGTTCTTCGTCGATTCTCCTTCTCGTGAATTTGGCCATTTCTTTGATCACTCCGGATGTGTAACCTCCTTTTAAGAGAGACTCAAAAGGAGTCGGATGTGAGGGCAATAGCATCTGATCAGATGCGCTTAGGTCAAGACCTCAGCCCTGCCTGGGTCCTAGAGATAAAACTGGCTGAGTGACTCCTGATCCGATCTTTGACCTGGGGTCTGACTCACACAGCTTGCTCTCTGAGTTTCTAAAAAGTAGAAATGTTGGGTAAGTCAATAGCGTTCCTAATTCAACTGTTACCTTTCCTGAATTCACTGTATCGGTAATGCCAGGCCCTGTGTTGAGTGCTTTCCTTGGATTGTTTGATCCCGCCCCACGAAAAGCCTGTGAGGCAGACGCTGTCATTGTTCCCATTTTACAGATGAGTAAAATTAGGTTTAGACTCTTGCCCAAAGTCACGGAGCCCACAGTAATGCAGCCAGGGTTTATTAACCCAGGACTCTGATTCCAGAACTTGTGCTGTAATCATAACAAAAAGTTGCCTTTCTTGCTTCTAGTACTTTTTACCTGTGGGATATGAAATAACTTGGTTTTATTTTATTTAAACATTGTTATTTAAAGTTTATCAAAATTAGTGCATGTTAGTAACAGTCAAACATTATATGAGTGAACAAAGAGGATATTGATCTTCCTTTCTCTTGAAATCTTCCCCTATCCCCAACCAAAGGTAATGGTTTGTTGTACAGATAGATCGATGTCTATATCTCAGGTTTATTATTTTTTAATTTTCCAAATTACTTTGAACTTCCCTATTTTACAAGTTAGCTAAGAAAAGCTTTACTGGCTTACCCAGTTTTGCACATTTCTTGCCTTTAAAAAATGTATGTTGATTCCGTTTGATTTGGTAAGGGGTTTGGGTAGGTGCGTGGGTTAGGGGGTGGCACATACCCCTTCCATTCTCCAGCCTGAACAATATGTGGCAGACTTATTTTTGCTTATTTTCATTTGCTTGCTTGTTTTTATAACAAGCATTTGGATAACAAAATTGTGCTCATTCTTACAATTCCAACAATACTGATGTAATAGGCTCCCATATATTTTTTTCTAAAAATTATGCAGCTTTGTTTTTCACATTAAGTCTAATCTATGTTGAGTTTATTTTTATATGTGATGTATAATATCATATAATTGTATCATTTAATGCTGATAGCCAGTTTCCCCAGAATTTGTATATTTGTTAGTGGTATCCAACAGTAAGTTTTGATAACTGGTAAAGTCATCAGTGTACCTCCCCTTACCTTTCCCCATTTACCTCCTCTTCATTCTTCAAAATTGTCTGAGCTATTCTTGGCCCTTTATTTTCTTCTGACAATTTTATTTATTTTAAATATATTTTATTGATTATGCCATCACAGTTGTCCTATTCCCCCCTTGTTCCCCTCCACCCTGCACACCCCTCCCCCACCATTCCCCCCACCTTCGTTTATGTCCATGTGTCACAAGTTCTTTTTTTTTAAATTTTTTTATTGATTATGCTGTTACAGTTGTTCTATTCCCCCCTTCATTCCCCTCCACCCTACCCCCCATCCCCACCATTACCCCCCCTTTAGTTTATGACCATGTGTCTCAAATCCTTTAGATTCTATATTTCCCATGCTATTCTTGCCCCCCTTCTATTTTCTATCTACTGTCTATGCTACTTATTTTCTATACCTTCTCCCCTCTTCTCCTCCTCCCACTCCCCTGTTGCTAACCCTCCTTGAGATCTTCATTTCTATGTCTTCACTCCTGATCTAGCTGTCCTTTTAGTTTGCTTTCGTTTTAGGTGTGGTTGTTAATAACTGTGAGTTTGTTGTCCTTTCACTGTTCATGTTTCTTTAACTTCTTTTTCTTAGATAAGTCCCTTTAACGTTTCATATAATAAGGTGATGATGAACTCCTTGAATTTAATCTTATCTGAGAAGCACTTTATCTGTCCTTCCATTCTAAATGAAAGTTTTGCTGGATAGAGCAATCTTGGTTGTAGATCTTTGGATTTCATGACTTGGAATACTTCTTTCTAGCCCCTTCTTGCCTGTAAGGTCTCTTTTGAGAAATCTGCTGACAGTCTGATGGGGACTCCTTTGTAGGTGACTGTCCCCTTAGCTCTTGCTGCTTCTAGGATTCTCTCCTTCATTTTCATCTTGGCTAATGTAATGATGATGTGTCTTGGTGTGTTCCTTCTTGGGTCCAAGTTCTTTGGTACTCTCTGAGCTTCCTGGATTTCCTGGAAGTCTATTTCCTTTGCCAGATTGGGGAAATTCTCCTTTATTATTTGTTCAAATAAGTTTTCCACTGGTGGCTGTGCCTTTCCCCCCTTCTGGTACCCCTATAATTCGGATGTTGGAGCGTTTAAAGATGTCCTGGAGGTTCCTAAGCCTCTCCTCATTTCTTTGAATTCTTGCTTCTTCACTCTTTTCTGTTTGGCCATTATTTGCTTTCTTCTGGTCCAGTCCATTGATTTGAGTCCCAGTTTCCTTTTCATTGCTATTGGTTTCCTGTGCAATTCCATTCATTTCAATTAGTTTAGCCTTCATATATTTGTCCAATTTGTGGGTATAATCAACCAATTCTGTGAGGATCCTGATGACCAGTGTTTTAAACTGTGCGTCTGAGAGTTTTGCTATTTCTTCATCGCTTAGATCTATAGGTTCTGGGGCTTTGAGATCTTCCTGCGCCATTTTTGGTCTTTTCGTGCCCTTTAAGTGTGAGAAGCGGAGCCTTGGACTCCCAGGTCGCTGGGTTGTGACGCTGTATGTGGGGGCGTGGTCAGAGCGGGGAAATGGCGACCCCCTCTGCTGTTTCTCACAGCTGGGTGAGGATTAGCGCCTTAGGTGGTTCCCCTGGGCCGGTCCACTCAGAGTCGCTGGGTTATGACGCTGTATGTGGAGGTGGGGTCAGAGCAGGGAAATGGCTGCGCCCTCCACTGCCGCTTGCGGCGGGATCCACCGGCCCGGTCCAACCGCCCACTCCCTCGCCTGTCCACCCTCGCACAAATGCGCGACCACAGTCAACATGCAGCACCGCACCCCCACTGTCTCCCCCGCGGTCGCTCGCCTGGTCGCTCGCTCGGTCGGCTCGGTCGCTCACTAGCTCCAACCCTGCGCCTGGATTCCTCGCATCTGGATTCCGCGCCTGAGTCCGTCTGACGGAGTCCTCCTGTGCAACCCCTCACCAGCCGCTGGTTTCGCCCCTTACCGGTCAGGCTGAAGAATTTGTTGTTAACGGACTTCCAAAAAGTTCAATTTTCCGTGTTCTGGCTGTGTTTTCTGTTGCTAATATTTAGTTGTCTCTAAACTTGGTTGTGTGAGAAGGCACGGCACATCCACCTATGCCTCCATCTTGGCGGAAGTCAGTCACAAGTTCTTTAGATTCTATATTTCCCATACTATTCTTGTCCTCCCCCTGTCTATTTTCTACCTACCGTCTATGCTACTTACTCTTTGTACCTTCTCCCCTCTTCTCCTCCTCCCACTCCCCTGTTGCTAACCCTCCATGTGATCTCCATTTCTATGGTTCTGCTCCTGATCTAGCTGTCCTCTTAGTTTGTTTTTGTTTTAGGTGTGGTTGTTAGTAACTGAGTTTGCTGTCCTTTTACTGTTCATCTTTTTTATCTTCTTTTTCTTAGATAAATCCCTTTAACATTGCAGATAATAAGGGCTTGGTGATGATGAACTCCTTGAACTTGACCTTACCTGAAAAGCACTTTATCTGCCCTTCCATTAAATGAAAGCTTTGCTGGATAGAGCAATCTTGGATATAGGTCCTTGGATTTCATGATGTGGAATACTTCTTTCCAGCCCCTTCTTGCCTGTAAGGTCTCTTTTGAGAAATCCACTGACAGTCTGATGGGAACTCCTTTGTAGGTGACTGTCCCCTTATCTCTTGCTGCTTCTAGGATTCTCTCCTTTATTTTAATCTTGGCTAATGTAATTATGATGTGCCTTAGTGTGTTCCTTCTTGGGTCCAAGTTCTTTGGTACTCTCTGAGCTTCCTGGATTTCCTGGAAGTCTATTTCCTTTGCCAGATTGGGGAAATTCTCCTTTATTATTTGTTCATATAAGTTTTCCACTCGTGGCCATTCCTCTTCCTCTTCTGGTACCCTTATAATTTGGATGTTGGAACATTTAAAGATGTCCTGGAGCTTCCTAAGCCTCTCCTCATTTTTTTGAATTCTTGTTTCTTCATCCTTTTCTGTTTGGTCATTTTTTTCTTCCTCCTTGTTCACTCCCTTGATTTGAGTCCCAGTTTCCTTTCCATAACTATTGGTTTCCTGTGCATTTCCCTTCATTTCAATTAGTTTATCCTTCATTTATTTCTCTAATTTGTGACTAAAATCAACCAGTTCTGTGAGCAACCTGATCACCATCAATTTGAACTGTGCATCCGAAAGGTTGGCTATCTCTTGGTCACTTAGATTTATTGGCTCTGGGGCTTTGAGCTGTTCTTGAGCCATAATGTTTTGGTCTGTTCGCACCTGTTACGTATGAGGGGCGGAGCCTTAGGTGTTCACCAGGGTAGGGCAACCCAGGTTGCTGGG